CATGTACTCTAGGGATAAACTTAATATTCGTGCAGGATCTACTATTACTCACCACCATATACACATCATGGGGATGTAGGTTAGAACATTTAGAATCATACGACAAATCGTGAAATTTATAGAGTACAACTAGAAATAACCATCGCCACTGACAATCTTGCTCATCATCATGCAGCAGAAAATGGCACCCCACAAAAATAACAAGTGCATGAGACACCAATCCTGTAGATGGACTCTGCTACATTCCAAGCTGCTGTAACAGCGACAGTAACCGCTGCTATGGCACAAATCAACACAAACGACACCAATGGAGGTGGAAATAACATCAACAACCCCAGCCGAAGGAATGAGCATGGAAACCAACAAGTGACATCTTATCAAGGCACTCCAAACGTCAAGCTTAAGGGTAGGAAGCGGAAGTCTAGAAGTAAGAGAAAGGGACCGCCCACTCAAGGGTTCTCGTAGAAGCAACATGTTGTTGTTGTCCATGCGACCATGCCCCCTACTACATCAACACTAGCAAGTTCATATGCTGGAAGCCTTCCAAAATGCAACTAGTGCAATTTCCACCATAAGGGAGCCTTCCGGGATCCATATTGTAGGAGATTCAACCAAAAGAGTCACACCACCAAATACTTTAGAACTTATCTACGACAGAATCAGCAGCCCAACAAAAACAACAACAATCGTAACAACCTTAATAATAACACCAATGCTAGGACTAGTCACACCTGCTATGGGTGTGGAGGAACCGATTAATTCAGGCACAATTTCCCCAAGGCTAACAATCAAGGATCTGAAGGATCAGGAAGGGTCCTGACCATGGGTCAAGGCGAAGCAATCCAAGACCTGACAGTTGTTACCGGTACATTCCCACTTAACAACCCTTTCTCTTTCATCTTACCCGATAGTGGAGCTAAATGAAGTTTCGTTAGTAACAAATTCGTGCACTTACTAAAACAACAACCCCAGAAGCTAATCGAAGCATTCACGGTGTAGATGGCTAATGGGAAAAACTGAATCAACCAAGCATACTTATGTAGGGTATACCTTAACACTAAACAACCATTCATTTCAAATAGATTTAACGCCAATAAATATTAGGAGTTTTGATGTGATAATCGGCATGGTTGGGTTAAGCCCCCGCCATGCTGATACTATGTGTCGCGAGAAGGCTGTTTCCCTTCACCTCCCCAATCACAAAACTCTAATAATCTATGGTGATAAACCTGGCGCCAATCCTCGTCCTATCTCGTGTAACAAGGCCCAGAAGTTCCTACACCAAAAGAACTACGTTTTCCTCACTCACGTTGTGGACAAGCCCAAGGAAGAAGTAAGCATACAAGGTATTACAGTAGCATGCGATTTTCCAGATGTATTTCCTGAAAAACTTCCAGGAATACCCTAGAGAGACAGGTCAAATTTTGAATCGACCTCATACCGGGAACTACATCAATTGCCAATTCACCTTACATGTTAGCTCCCGCCAAAATTCTGAAGTCATCCAGTCAAACTAAGAGAATGGTTGAGCAAAGGATTCATCAGACCAAGTTTCTCACCATGGGAAGCTCCAGCCATGTTCGTTAAGAAGACGGGTCTTTTAGATTATGCATCGATGTTAGGAAATTGAATAAGCTCCCTATCAAAAACTGATACCCACCCCCTCGGATTGATGGCCTATTTGGCAAGCTCCAAGGAGCTAGTTATTCTCTAAAATAGATCTAAGAACCGGTTATCATCAACTCCGAGTCTGAGAAGAGGACATTCCAAAAAAATCATTCGCCAAACCACAGGGAAGATAATCCAAATCAGAGATCGACTTTAAGCATCACGAGACTGAAAGAAGAGCTATGAAGATAAATGATGAAAGCCTCTGGAATTCTGAGTTGGAGATCGGGTGCTATTAAAGGTCTCCCCTTGGAAAGGGATGATCCATTTAGGAAAAGGGGTAAGCGGAACCCACAATATATTGGACCATTTGAGATTCTTGCCCGAATTGGTCTAGTGGCTTATAACCTGCAACTACCCTTAGAGCTCAACAATGTACACCCCGTGTTCCACAGCTTGAATTTGAAAAATTGCTTGAAACCCTTGCTATTCCCTTAGAAGAGATCGAAATAAACAATAATCTCATGTTCATTGAAGAACCATTGGAAATCATAGACAGGGAAGTGAAGCGTACTAAGCAAAGTCGCATTACGATTGTAAAGGTTTGATGGAACGCTAAGCATGGACCGGAATTCACATGGGAATGTGAAGACCAAATGAAACACAAATACCCTCACTTATTCTCGCATCCTCAAACCTAGCTTCCATAAGAATTTCGGGATGAAATTTTCTCTAATGGGGGGATGATGTAACAACTAGCAATTTTAGCTAGGAAATCCTATGCTTTTGTAAACATTATCTATGATAACAATTGTAACCCTAATACGATAATGTGTATGATGTTCATTCAATAACAACAAATACAGTATGGAATCACCATATACAAAACACTTCAAATAATCAACTAAGGATTTGAATCCCTAATAATCCTGGTTTAAGTCCATTATGGACTAGGATTTCTTATTAGGCCTAATGGACCAATAAGCTTCTAATTTGACTATTTTGGGCTTAGGACCCTTAAATGGGCTTTAATTGGACCCATATTCATAAAACTTAACATTTTGGTCCATAATGGGTCTAAAATGGAATAGTTTACCATTATTGGGCATTGTTGGGCCATAACTAATCTAATTAGCCCTAATGGGCCATAAACCCATTCTGTTAAGTCATATTGGGTCGTAACCCACCTTAAGAGCCCAATGAGCCGAAAAGAATTTATTGGGCCTTATGATTTCAAACAAAGATCAAGATTGGGCCCAAAATAATTTTTTTACCTCTCTAGCCCAATTCTCGGCCATAGATAGAAAAAAAAATAGAAAAAAAGGGGGAAAGAAAGGATGAATGAAGATTAAACATGTACGTGACAACTCATGTTTAACCACCATATAACTATGGAAAAATATCATGTTTCAAGACTAGGCATAACCTCACAAATAACAAGATTATGATCTCTCTCTCCCTTCTCTCCATACTCTCGGCCAAACCTTCTCACCACCTCCATTTTCTTTCAAAAACTCTCTGAAACACTCTAAAAAATCTCTTCCTTCTTCCATCAAAATTTCGAGATTTAGTGTGCTTTCAAGAGGATTCTTCACCAAAAATCATCATTCCTAGGTAATTCCTTGCATATTCAAGTTCTACAACTTCATTTTTATGTTAGAACACTCCTTTTAAACAATTGTTTGTGATCATACTCTTAGAAGCTTCCGAAGTTCAAAAATCACACAAGGAAAGCTTGCTAAGGCAGAAAAATTACATCATCCCTTCATTACGTCTTCAAAACCGAAACATCAAAACAAAGGTGAGTTCATACCCTCTTGTTTTTTGTTTTTACTTGTGTTTTGGGGGGATAATACATATCGTATGTGTAGATCTATGTGTATATTCATGATTATGTGTGATTTGTTGAACAATTTGGTGATTATGTGTTGTTTACTTCATAAACCTAAGAATATGTTAAGAACATGAAGTTTATCATTTGGATCTTCATAAAAAAAACCTTGAGAAAAATATGTGCTATCACATATAATACATGTAAACTTATAGATCTGTGATTTAAACATCTAAAATAGCAAAAACAAGTGTTGTGAAAAAACATGGATAACTTACACTCAAAAATCAGCCTTTGACAGAAACGTTTTAGTCCAATCTCAAACTGTTTTGACCACCTTAATGGAAATATTTCTCAAAACTGTTTTACATGCTCAAAGATCAGGTTTATACCTTTAAAATGAATACTCTCACGTTTTCATACGATTTTTCTACTATTTTTAACGACTCTTGCGATTTGAAGCTGAAACAGGGGTACATAATTGATAAACAGAGCTTATTAAAGTTCTTACTCCTATGTTCAACAGATTGACAAAAATGTACAGAGGGAAATCATTAACCACAGATCACTAAGGCATCCCATATTCAAAGAGCTTTGTAATTGTTCATGTTCTTCTATAATAACATCTTAAACTACATTCTTAATTATGAGGTTGATTTCCCTTAATTTAAAGGTGATTTTAACACCAACACGTCTTGTGATTGTAATCGAATATGCATCCGAAGGAGAAATGTTTGAACTTATCTGCAATGCTGGAAGGTCTCTGACTAACTCATATCGCCAGGGGTGTTGTCTCGACGAATAGAAAGAAAAAAAAAAGCGGCTCGTAGTTAATAGTCTAAATTTGTTCTCAAATGTTATGACATTTAGAATTATTCTAATTAGAATATATATATATATATATATATATATATATATATATATATATATATATATATATATATATATATATATATACACACGCACACTACTAGAAAATTGGTGCAATAGCTACAGCATAATCCGTAGCTATTCCGTAGCTATAAGCGGATAGCTACGGAAGTGCTACGGAAAATTGGTTGTAGCATAATGGCCCGTGGCTAAATTATAGCTACGGAATCAATACGGAATAGCTATGCAATTTTCCGTAGCTACTATAGCTACGGAATAGCTACATAAATAAATAGTTACGAATTTCCTATAGAATAGCTACGGAATAGCTATGGAACTAAATAGCTACAAAATAACTACGGATCCAAATAGCTACGGAAGTAAATAGCTACGGATTTTTTGTAGGTAATCCGTAGCTAATTACATTTTTTTTTAAATAATTTTTTTTTAAATAAAATAACAATTAATTTGTTCAAAATGAAACAAAAATTCATTGCATTAAACTACAAAATGTAAAATACATTACTAAGTGCCTAACACATTACAAAAACATCATTTTCCTAAAATAAATATTAGAATAAACATCATCTATACAACAAAATAAAAAATTTGGTCAAACTAAAAAATATGTTGCTATTTACAACACCAAAAAGCTTCATGAAGGGCAACCAACCGGTAACTATTACACAAGTCAGCTACTACAGTTTTTTGGCCTCCAGATAACTGCTTCATGGACTGTGTCACCTTGTCCAATCAAAGAAACCTGAACTTCTTAAACATAAGATGATTTTGATAAGTAGATTGTATCACATTATAATATATATATATATATATATATATATATATATATATATGTATATATTAAAAAACTTAATAAATATAACATTGTAACATGAAAATATGATTAACCCCCCCCCCCTTTGATCTGAGAAGTTCATTGATGTGAGGTTGGGGACTTGAAGGAGGCCATGTCACAAGAAACCCTTTAAGCTTTTTAAAGAACTCACTGCATAAATCTGTTGTGGTGCTTGAGAGATCAATAGAGCTGAAAAAATGAAAAAATCTATTCAATTTCAGACATGCAAAACCAATCTATGTTCTTGCTACATACACATACACACATAAAAGTAATAATTGAGGGATGAAGAACTAACCTGTAATCCAATTTGTATGTTTTCTACATACACAAACAGTCAAATATACATACACACATAAAACTAATAACTAAGGGATGAAGAACTAACCTGTAATCCAATCTGTATGTTTGCTACATACACAAACAACCAAATACACATACACACATAAAACTAATAATTGAGGGATGAAGAACTAACCTGTAATCCAATCTGTATGTTTGCTACATACATAAACAACCAAATACCACTATCTGCTCCATTCATTTTTGCTCCAACCACCAAACACCACCATTGACCACCTTCCTGTTTGCATCTATTCTGTACCATCACATGCTCAGCTACTCCACCATATTAGCAACATAAACAACAGAAAACCATAACAAAACCACCTACATCTTCAATCCATCGTTCTTGATAACATTCACAGATGATCAAGGAACCAAAATTTTGGTCAAGAAATTACCCGAATCCAAATACTCTTCACTCAGGAAATTAATCGAACACTTGGTGGGTAGATGGTTTCATACACAAAAATTAAAGATTTTGGTCAAGAAATTACCCGAATCAAATACCCTTCTTCCCTTCCTGTTACAACTGAGACACAAATCCAACTAACAATTCAAAAACATGAAGAAATAGAAAATGATATTAGAAAGATAAAGAAAGAACAACCAATTTTAAAAAATCATTATATGATGTTGCAGAAAGAACAAACGATTTTGAAAAGAACAAATAATCTAAAGTCGACTAACCTTTGCAGAAGCTGTCGACGAACCAAAAGTTGTCGTCGTCGATTGAAGGAGAGATTGGAAGCAATCGACAAACCGAAAGCAATCGACGCGATGCTCAGAAATGGAAGTTGTCGCCAGTTTACTTCATTCGTTGAGTCAAGAGAGGTAACACGATGATCGGAAGAGAAGCTAAAGCTGCAAGAAGATCTAGGAGAAGCAGACAAAGCGGGAATCCAAAAATGGGTGAAATGGGAATGAAAATTTTGGAGAGCAGACTGGAAATATTTGGGGGAAAGGGAAGTGGGTAACCTAGAAATATTTGGGAAGCTAAAAAAAAAAGAGGCTAAAAACATGTGGTGTACCGGATTCGAACACGAGTATCTTATGTATAATGTCAAGGTATTTACCAAAAGGCCGGGAATGCCACATCCACAACATCAAGACTCTTTAATTATATTTATACAATACCCACTTGAATTCCCTTATTATTATTATTATTATTATTATTATTATTATTATTATTATTGTTATTATTATTATAATTATTATTATTATTATTATTATTATTATTATTATTACTATTTCCATTATTATTATCGACAAAATTACAAGAATGGTCCCTATGGTATGTCAAAACTAGCAACTTTGGTTCAAAATGGGTTTGGTTCGCAAGGATGGTCCAATAGTTTTGTTTTGTTGCGACCTTAGTCCAATTTCTTATGAACTTTCTATAATGACATATTTGCCCCTTATTATTTTATTTTCCATTTTTATTTTATTACAACAATTAAAAATAAAACAAAAATAATCTCTCTCTCTCTCTCTCTTCAGAAGAAGAATAGCCAAGGACCACCTCTGTTTTGCTTCCGTTCTTCTCTTTCTCCCTTCAATCAAGTCGTTTCCCTTTCCCCCTCGATTTGTGGCCACTAACGACGAGAGGAGAGCCAATGGGAGTTCGTCGGAGATCGACTCCCTTCCCGCCGATCTGCCTTTCATTCGAATCGATGGTGGGTTTTCGTTTTAGGTAAGGTTTTGTGTGTGAATTTTGTTTCAGATCTACCCTTCTTAATCTTTGTTTCAAATTTGGAACCAAGAACATACCTACCTTCAACTTTTGGATTTGGGTTTTATTTCAGATCCAGAACAAGAACGAAGAACACCCATTGTGGATTTGGATTTGGGATGTTGGATGGTGGTGGATCACGACAGGGGGAGGCCGAGGAGCTGCCACAGTTGATTGTGGTGGCTCTCTTCATCGGAGAAGTGCAAAATGAGGGAGATAGACGAGTTGGAGATGAAAGGGAGGTCGAGGAAAGGATTCTGA